GGAAGATGAGACTGTCAGGCATGTCCTGTGCGAGTGCCCGGAGTTATCGTCAATAAGAGAGTGTGTGTTCGGCGAGTCTTGGCCTACACCTGCCGATATAAAGGAGATGTCTCCCAGCGACCTGTCCACCTTCCTGGAAAGGACAGGATGGACGACGACCTAGGAGGACAACTCCTCGGGAGGATGTACAATGGGTCACATGTGGCCTAAGTGCGTGGGCTTACACTCACCCTCCCTACTCTACAGATACAGATACAGAATCCAGGTATACATCTTCGCTGTCATCGTGAACAGCTGCTGGATTGACGGTGGGCAAATTCTCAAAGAACGCCTTCGCAGCAGGGTTAACCAAAAATCTTTTTAGGTGTTGCAAGTCGTTGAACTTTGGTTGAGAAATCGACAACGGTCCATCATACAGGTTAGTTAAAGGTCTACGTGGAGCAGGATGTTTTCTTGAGTTTTTTCCCCTTTTTGGTGGCTTCCAAAGGATTTCAGCGTCCATATAACAACCAGAAAAAGTGTTTTGGTGAAAAATTTTTGAAGGATGTTCATTCATGACCTTTAAACAACGCAAGGGCCTAGTGGGAAAGGGGCAATTTTTCAAGTACATAGGCGTCAAGAATTCTGTCCATGTCTTGAAAATTTCTTGCTGGCATTTGATCACAGCAAAGGGCGACGGCCTCTCTCTGCTATTTCTTATAACATCCCTCCATTCATCGGGCAACTCAACATAAGTCTGCTGATTGATGTAACTCATGTTTTTATCACATTCGAGGTATGACGAGATTACGAACTTCTTCAGACAAAAAATTGGTCACGTAATTATCGAGCATGGAGCAAACGTCGTCGGATCCTTTACGGGCAACGCTCTCATCGTACGTGTAAAAAGCTGCATCTCCGGTAGACAGAACGTGGATGTTGAAGCTGTTAATGTTGAAGCTGTTAAAGTTGAACTGTCTTTCTTAGTAAACGTCGTTGGTCGTTATGTTGAGGGTAGGTAGATTCTTCTGAAAGTCCATGGCAATGGCAGCAACAGCACGATTTCTTTTACAAATTTTTTTGAAATTCCTTTTAATTGAATGAAATTTTTTGTATATCCTTTTTGGGATCATATATTTTTTGCGAGTCTGGAAGAGTGGTTGTGGTGCCTGATTCAATTGCTGATTTCTGAGACCTGATGGCGTCACACGTGCTGCAGGTATCCTTTCTCGGATAGCCGGACGATATAATAAAATTCATATTATTTTTTTATACACCAACAATTCAGGAAAAACAATAAGCCACAAAAACAATATGAATTTAGCACTACGCGATTCAACAAGTGATAAGCTGATTACGAGGAAGGTTCCGCAACACTGCTGGTCTCTACCGGTGGCCCGGGCATTTAAATTGACATTCATCTTTCTTCCATCCACGCTTGTGACATTCATCTACTTTCCCCCTTACCCCGAATCTTTTCATGCACATTTTGGACGATTCACATCTTTTTTCCCCTTTGGTGTTCTACCAGATGATAGTACTCCTTCATAACCCCTAGATAGCGCTAATATCTCAAAATCGACGAAAAAGTGACTTTCATCTTTGTTCCCCCTGGCCCTTCATTTATATTCAGCCTTTTTTTTCCTAGAATATTATCAAAGAATTAAGGAAGAAATTGAATGAAGAGTCATTGAATAGTCAATATCTACAAATCACAGTTATTGATATCTTTTGACTTAATTTCAATAGAACTGTTCTGGAGTAGGTTAGGTTAGGTCCAAAGTGAGTGGGTTTATTCGACCCTCCACTGCATCCCGCAAGGGTTTATTGTGGCTCACACCTATTCACACTCAACCAAGCCAATTAGTTCTGTATAGTGAGTTGTCTTTCAGGTCAGATGGAAAGAGTACGGCTCTACTGAACTCTAAAAACCTGAATCGGTCCCCTGATTTGTTTGGTATAGTTATCAGAAATATTAATCTACGCTTTGGAAACCTTTTCATTAGTTTACCTGCTTTTGAGATTGATAAATGAATATTCAATATTTCTGTTGTGTTTAATGCTCACGTCTTGTCTGAATATAGGACTCTTTCTTGTGATTATCTATTTTAAAAATGTATAAAAATAAGTTTCATTTGAACAGCAACAGACACGATACAACAGAAAAACAAAATATTCGTATGTTTTAAGCACATATGAACAAGAAAAGGTTTCTGAAGTACAGAATGATCTAATACGCATCTAAAAAATACACCAAAATATAACAACACAGTTGATGGAAGTAAACCGTCCAACATAACCCTGAAAATTATATATTTCTTTTTATTGCTTTGAAAATCATAATCATTTACTACTGAATGAAAGTGAAATTTATCGAATTTGACTTCCCAAGGTTGCACATTGAAAAACCTAGGTTGCCACCAATGAGATAATTCGTCCATTGCCACTCAACTGATTTCACACATAATCATACCAAAGATGCATAGATATCCATTTTGTCAAAAACTCTCGGCACGAGAAATGAGATTGACACAACTTTGTACAAGCGTTAATAGTTGGTGCAAAAATCACTATAGGTTAAGCTATGTTAGGTCCAAAGTGCCAAACAGAGGTGACACACACTGTCTTTCGACAGTCCAAGTCTCTGCATATGACGATTCAAATGATAGTGACCTGTTAGATATCGTAGTTCATTCCTACTGTAGTCCAACAACTGTTTGGTATCGAGCTTCAAAGGGTGAATAGACGCCTTGAAGTGAGCCAGTCATGGAAGATTCTGCCAGAAGTCCATAAATCTTCTTGTCATCCAGATGTTCAATCTTTGTTTGGCAAAGCCTAAAGCGATACCAATGACAGGTTCTGGTCCGATTAATTTGTTTACGGCACCCTCCCTTGCAAGGGAGTCGGCAGCCTCATTGCCTTCCAGGCCTGTATGGCCGGGAATCTAGACCAGAGACAATTTGTTAAGTCTTCCTATCAAGGAGAGTCGTTTTTGGCAATTTGCTACCAATTCATATGTTGCTCAGTAGGAACTAAGAGCTTCCAACGCTGCTTGACTGTACGAGAATATTTTTATTGACTTGTGTATGAGGTTGGATTCTTCCAATCTCCAATGACAGGTTCTGGTCTGATGAAGCTGCTTGCAGCACCCTCCTTTGCAAGGGAGTCAGCAGCCTCATTGCCTTCCAGGCCAGTATGGCCAGGAATCCAGAGACCAGACCAGAGACAATCCGTTAACTCTTTCTATCGAGGAGAGTCGTTTTTGGCAATTTGCTACCAATTTCGACGTTGCTCGGTAGGAGCTAAGAGCTTCCAACGCCGCTTGACTGACTGGGAATATGTATGACGTTGGATTCTTCCAATCTGTCCGCACACAATTCAATAGCGTACATTTCCGCTTGAAATACAGTTGCATAGATTCCTAGGCAGGTTGATACCTATGTCCTGGATCTGCGACTAAAAACACCTGCACTAGAACCGGAAGGTGTTTTTGATCCATTTGTGAACCAACAACTATCTGCTCTTAATATTTCCTTCTCCCGGAGGATCCAATCCTCTACTCGGGAACAGTACTTTACATAGTACACTGAGTATAATGAAAGTCATATATCCTTTTAGCACTTTAACATGTGGTTTCATTTAGAACTAATACCTCGCCCTGGAGGGTTATTCCAACGTTTTCCGTTGTATGGCGAACGATTGGAGAAGGTGCCTGATATTCCGTTGTTAGATGAGGCCATGTGCTTCAAGATCACCAGAGATTATTCACAGAGTGGGTTACTGTTCGCCCTTCTGTGGTCACTCCTGATGGAAAGTTTATTTGTTGTTTTTAACAAAACAAAAAAAGATACATCTACAAGCCTATGCAGGAGACCTTGTGATCTTTGCAAGAACCATGTCTGGGAAGGCAGTCTGTAATGTCCTCCAAAGAACATTCATAGATGGTGCCAGAAAACACAGATGTCTGTAAATCCTGGCAATACTGTAAAAGTCCCCTTCAGCAGGAGAATATATATGCATTAAGTACCGAAATGGCTAATAAATATTATTATCATTATTATTATGACTACCATTGGACTTATCTCATGTCATATAAATGATTTATGGAGATTAATAAAATTATCTATCTATCTATCGATTAGATCTCTTTATTACTCCTTCATCAACAGTGCTGAAGGTTAGGATTTTTTGACAGGACATTTTACATGAGCAAGGGATCCAATTCATCACACCAGGAATATTCTATGCATCTTGATCTAACCCAACCTACATAACACAACCATGGTAAACATATGAACAGGCAGATTTTCTTACTTACTGTTAATATTTGATGAGTTGGCTCAGGATCTCTTTGTTGGGAAGTTCCTGGCTGCATGGAGGGTGTAGGATTGCCATTGTATTTCTGTCCTGTAATATCTGCTTCGGATTTTAGAACTGTTTCAAAAACATTCCCTACTGTGTTTACTAAAATTTCATTCGAAGGGCCTTCTGTGGGTTCCGTTATTGTCGCAGTGTTACAAATCACATTTTTCTTTAACCTCCTTCTGAAAATAAAAATAGTTGTCAAGAAAATGTACATTCACATTATATTCTTTGACCTATAATATACAGAACTGAACCAAAAATATTGTTCAAACCGTGTCAAAGCCATTTTCCAGATTTGTTGGTTCTCATGTTTTTATTCTCACGAAAGGGGATGAGGCAATAGCAGATACTCAGTGCTCTATTTGTCTCCATAGAACTCGAACCCTAAACAATGGAATATAATCGCCTTCGATAATGTTTACCATAGCTGTAGTCGAAATATTCAAGAATCATTTTATTGTGAAATTTTCACTACACAGATTACAAAAATGCAACACATGTTTTGCTTTTTTTCAAAAACTACGCCCCACAAACTTTACTTGATTTCCACAAACTTTATTTGAAAAATATATCACGACATGTTTCGCTAACACAGTAGCTTTATCAACAGTGACTTGAGTTCTACAAGTTGCTTCCTATGCCAATATTTATATACTAACTATAATAGAGACTACCTCCAACAAATTACCTAAACCTCTTCAATTATGATTACCTGAATCATACTGCCTCACTTCTACATCAATAATTCTTTCTCGGTTTTTCTAAGAAAACAAGTTCAATAATGGTGATCTATTCAAATCCAGATGGTCATCTATTGGAATGTTTGAATTTTTAAGTTTATTAATTTCCATTGCTTCCAAATGATTCAGTTTCAAACCTTTATTTTCTGTGTAAAATTTCGAACTCTTCGTAAAAGACACGATTTTCTTCTAAAAGATGATTTTGAATATGTTAAACTTGTTTTTTTATTTACATATAATAATAATAATAGGTCTTTATTCCCAGAATGATACAATAAATAAATGTGAACGACATCATCAAAAATGATCTTCA